CCTAGTAGCGTTCTTGCTCCTAGTAGCGATGCCAGGAGCCCCTAGTACTTTGAAGCTGCTGGTTTTACTAGTGAGTTAAGTGAATTAAGAGAGTTAGCTAACTAATTACTAACTAGTTATAAGCCTTAAATTTTTTAAAAATATGAGTAGCTATTTTTGATTTTGGTTGAGGTTGAAATATAAAAAAACCATCACCCAAAAAATAAAAATAAATGCCAATGTCAAACAAAATGAACTTTTCGAAACTTGTTTTATTGATCTGAGCCTGTGTACGTTTCAGGAAGCTCCAACTTTTTTTTGGCCATGAATGGGTTCACCATTCATGTTTTTGTGACAGGGTTGCATATGAACCAAACATCACAAAGGAAATTGCATTTTTCATGAACAATATTGTTGCACAGCAGCAGCTGGAACAACTGGCGACTGTGAACTTGAAAGTTGAAGTTTTGCATCAAAAGTACAAAAATAACAGTGACTATAATGTCGAAGAGGGGCTTCCAAGCAGGAGCTTGCACAAGCTTTGCTGGTGAACAAATGAGCTTGCACAAGCTGAAACCTTGAAACACCATTTGAGCACTAACAGTACCCCAGCCCTGACACCTGCAACCATGGTTTTTCATTCTGGCAAGAGAAAGGTGCTGGAGTCAAGCACACAAAGCTGCCATCTTGGGCTTCTGTGTGGACCACTGGCTGCAAGATTCTGTCAAGAGCCATCAGCTTCAGCTGACCATGTGCTGCTTGCCACTTGCTGGACTGAGTTCCTGCCCTTGTCCCTTTGAAGGTCAGCTCATCAACAATGCAGAAATGAAGATTGTGTATAACCAGGAAGTGTTTCACTTTCCCACATCCACAGAAGCTACTGTTTGCAATGGTCGGTTGCAGCAAAACAACATCACCTGCCTTGCAGGTTGTACCTGTTTGCAGGACACAAGACCTGGAGCACTCCATGCCTTTCCAAAAGACACCTTCTTGAACCAAGGTGCTCATTAGCTTCTTAGTTGGCTGTCGAGGCTCGACCACATGGCTTTGTGTGCTGAAAAGATCTTTATCCTTGACCAGAGTGTTGACATGCTCCATAGTGACAGCTGTAAGAAGTCCTTTCTCGTATGTTTGTAACTTGCAGTGAACACTTCCAAATTTCCTGGGTTGCTGATGCTTTCTTTCAAGAGCAAAACAAGAGGGAAGCTGGGACCATCTTCTCAAACAATCTGGCAGGTGCAGAGCCCAGTGTTGTTTAGGCTTCATGCCATCAGCAAAACCAGCTGCAACTGTGGACTGCAGTGCTTGTTCCACTAAGGACACAAGCTCCCTGGGTGAAGGCTGTTGCAAATGAGGGATACTGACCAAGAAATCCAGAAGGTTTGCCCAAGCGATGAAGCAAGCACACTGCTCCACCATCACATTGTGTGCTACAAACATCACTTGCAGAAAGTACTGCATGAGCTTGTAGATGCTGAGCATCTCTGAAGCTGAGCATTTGAAAGTTCCAGCTTTCTTGGAACTTGTCACAGCCTTGGCATCAAACAATTTGCAAGGGTTGCAATTGTAACCTTTGGGCAATTGCCACAGCTGAATCCATGAGGCCAAAGTCTGCCACACTTTGACTGAGCTGGGAAGTGATTCAAGCACTTGATACAAAATGTCATTCAAGACCCCATGGCTTGTCAGTAAATGCATGTAATCATAGCAGTAAAGAGATACTGGTTTGAGCAGTCCAGCTGATAGCAGTGTATCACTGCTGAGCAGCGCATGGTGGTTGTAGCTCAAGCCACTGGCCTGTTGGAGTTGTTTGAATTCTGCCTGGGTTGTTGTAGCAACCTTTTCCTTCAGCCTTGTCCAACTAGCAATGATTTCCTCATCGGTTGCTATGTGAAGCTGCTCATACTTGAGGAATTTGCTGAAGATTTTGGCACTTTCTCCTTCTGTGCTTTCTGCATCCCTCAAGCTGAATATATTGTTGCATAGGAAGCATGGCTTGCTGCCAATGTCTTGGCGATTGGCCCATACCTGCTTGTGGGCACTGCCATCCTGGAGAAGCATTCCCAGGGAAAAATGTAACCTTAGATTCCCCTTGGATGATTTGAGCAACACCCCAGTGGTGGCAGTTCCATCACCAAAAATGTGCTCCAAAATGTGTCTAAAGACTTGGCTGTATCCAGCTTGCAATGTTGCAACCTCTGAAGATCTCAGGATGGAGATGCAAAACCACAGATCTGATCTACTCAGCAAATGTCCAAGCTCCAAGAATGAGATGTAAAAGCACCAACATTTCCTGGAGGTACTGTTCAAAATGTTGCCAGGGTGAACTTCATCGGAATAACACACAGCCTGCCAGGGAGCTGCAAGAGAACTAGGCTGCCTGGCATGTTTGTCCAACAGAAAGTCTGTGAACTCTCCTGCTTGGTTGAAGATGCCAGAGAGCAGAGACAAAAAGTTTATGAACAAGAAAGCCACCTTCTCATTGTTCAGAGTGGTGGCTTGCACACTCTGAAACAAAGGCCCATACATACTCATCGAGTGATCCTCCAAGAACTGTTTTGCTTCATTCCAAATTGAGAATCTACTGTGCTGTCCTGGCAATCCACCTTCTGCAATTTCCTTGCAGATTGCTGCCAAAGCTGTTTGTGTGCAAAAGGGGACTGAGGCCCTCAAGTCTGTGATTTTCCTCTTCTTAGAAGAAGATGCATCAGCAGCCATGGTTGGGCAAATATATGGCTATAGTAAACAGAAAGCAATTGATGAAAATGCAGTGAGACATTCTATTTTTATGGATGATAAAGGGAAACCTATGTGCACTATATGAACCTGATTGCTTTGTCTTTGTGTTGTAGCTTTTAGGAGGTAGTGATGAAAGTGGAACTACCAACAATGAATTCACTGTATGTGAAAATTGTTTCAGTAGTTAACTCTATGGAGCCTGTACTCCAGGACAGAAAAAGTGATGTTGATGTGGAACTTGTTGAATAAACCAAAAAAAGCCTGCACAGGCTTGACAATGGAGCTTGCACAGGCTCAGTGACAAGTTCAGCCTGTACTGGCTTGTCGATGGAGCCTGCACAGGCTCAGTGACAAGTTGAGCCTGTAGTGGCTAAGCTATGTCCTTTTTTCCAACACCTTGCACATGGTTGAGCCTTCTATTGGGCTTCCTCAGCATCCACCTTGGCAGCTATCCTCTCAACTGCTGCCCTTATTTGCTCCTCAGTGAACCTCATGTTGCCCTGGCAGTTCCTCACGAACTGCTCTGCTGAGTACCATGTCTGCCAGCCTGACAAAGGTTTGGGCAAACAGTTTGTGAGGCAACCAGATATACACAACACAGAAAGTGTTGTTGAAACATGTTGAAACCAACAAGCTGACAACTAACACTTTTGGTGCAAGCCCCAAGCCTCCTGGGTTCAACCTCACATACCAATAGGTCTTTCGACCTCTGGCATCAACCCATGACTTGAAGCAAGCAGTTGCAGAAGGAGATGCAAGAGGCATTTTCCTTTCTTTGAGCCTTCACAGGGCTGCCTTGAAAAAGAATCATTGTAGAAGAAACATTCAAAAGCAGCCTTTGAACAATGGTTCTGACAACTTGAAGCAAAGCCTTCAAAGGCTGTGTCCAACATGAGCCTTCAAAGGCTGTGTCCAACATGAGCCTTCAGAGGCATTCTCTCATCAACATGACTTTTTCTTTTATCATGAAGGTCACCTGCCCTAGCAGATGTTGGGAACAGCAGCTTGAGCTATTCAACCCCCAATGATGCCACTTTCAGAAGCATCTACCCCATTGGCTAGAAAAGGCTCATTTGAGCTTGTGCAGCTTTGCATGCTGAACCCACTCAGCTCTTGTGAGTTTCAATCCACAAAAACCAGGGCTCAGACATGAAGCACAACCATTTTTGTTTCCTCTACAGCGCAAACACCCTTTCAGGTCACTCTTGGCCTGCTTGGGTTCTGCTGGCTTATTTTTGGTCTTCTTGGCATTTGGATCAGCTGTGTTGCTGGCAGGCCTTTTCATAGGTCCTTTCCTTGGGCCTTTGCAAGACTTAGGCTTGCCCTTCTTACCTTCATCCCTTTGTTTCAGCTTTTCCAAATTTTCCATTTCAAACTCTTCCAAGGATTTTCTACCCTTGGCATCACCAGGAGCTGTACCAGTTCCACTGGCAGCCTGCACAGGCAAATGCTCTGCTTCAGCAGGGGATGTCAAAGATTCAGTGCTGGATGCCTTTTCAACAGCAGATGAGCATTGCTTGCCTTCCAATATCTTGCTGGCAGCTGTTTCAAAGCGATTGACCAGCTGGCAAATGAGACTTTCAGGCATTGAGCTTTGTGTGGATCCACAAGCTGAAGCATCATGTGTTGCCTTGGCAACATGCCTGCCTTTGTTGTCCTTAGATGAAGGCTGCATGGATGATTCAACAAATGCCTTACTTATAAAGAAAAAACAAAAACATATAGCAATAAGTTCACTCAAGCTTCTTTGGCACTGAGAGCAGCAGCAGTGTTTCTTACCCAGCAATGCTTTTGAATAATCACAGCCAACTGTGGAAAATCCTTTTTGGCAGGCTTGTCTGATGGATAGGCTGCCTGGAAGTGCTGAGTTTCCAAATGACAAGGGTCCTCAGGGTAACTTGCTAGGCACAAAGACTTGTCTGGCACCTGCACAGGTGCAGATTGAAGGCAATCAAACACATGCCTGGCCAGTGAGTAGACCAGTTCAGCACAAGGCATCTTCTTTGACCTTTGGTTCTCATGCCAGACAAGTATGCCCAAAGCACATTTCTTCAATGACTCCTTCATGCCACAAATGCCAAGTGCTTTCATGCGCTTGGCAAGCACATGGCAACCTTCCCACATAGAGCTCTTCTCCAGCTCATCCAGGTCAGTGGAAGTCAAATATTTGTAGAAGGTTTTGCATTCCTGGCCAGATGATGCCAACACCTTGGATTGAGGTTGGTCACATTGGATTGCCAAGTCATCAAAAGCTTTCAGCAGCTCTGTGTTCAACTTGTCTGGAAGATTGGCTGCCTGCAAGGTCTCATAACAAGCAACTAGCTCAGAGCTAGTCAGGCCACTCATGTTCCCAAGCTTTCTCTTCAAAGCTTCACAGAGCTTACTTTCAAGCTCATGAACTCCAGGCCTTGCTCTCAGCAAATTGCCCATTGCCAAGAGCTCTTGCCTGATATCACCAGGCAACCAAGACATTGGCCAAAAACACAACCTTTTCCACTACTTTTTGACCCAGATGCAAAGCTGCAGCTTGTTCTATACACATCAAATGTAACATAGATAGCCTTGATTGGCTACACTGGAACCATTGAGCCTGTAATGGCATCATTTTGATCAATGAGCTTGCACAAGCTATGCTTTATGCTGCAATATTGTTTTTGATGAAAAAGCTGGCAGTGAATGCAAATATTAATTAGGTGACATCCAAAGCACATGAAAAATGTAGCTGTGCATTCAAAAATGCAAAGCATTAATCAGCATGTTGCCACACATACTTGCAGTGGCATAAAGAAAGATATCTAATTCATCTCAAGCCCTGCTTCATCAGCAGTTCTCTTTCTGGTAGCTCCATGTGGTTGGGCATCAAGTGGTGGATCATCTGGAATGTGGAAGTAATGCCTCCACTTCTGACATTGCAAAGCCCACCATGTTGGCATACCATCTTCGAAGACAATGACTTGAGCATCTTCATCACCATCCAGCCAAACATCACCAACAACAAATGGATTTGCAGATGTCACCATTGTGTTGGTAGACAAAGTGCATGCCATGGCTCGAGAACACTGTCTGGAAATATGTACAAACATAAGACAATATCCATGAAAATTCATTTATTATTGTTTATCATATTATATAAAATCAGAAAATATTGAACTAATCAATTAAATTTTTTAAATTGAAAAATTAAATTTTAAATTTTCAATTTAAAATTTTAAATTGAAAAATTGGATTTTTGATTTTC